CCAGAACTGCATTTTCCAAGCGTGACATTTCTTATTTTGTTTATTGATTTATTATATATACAGTGTTCTACTTTCATGTATGCCTACAAGTCAGAAGAGGGAGATCTGCAAGTCAGATCTCATTATAGATGGTTGTGAGCCACCATGTGGGTGCTGGGAATTGAACTCAGGACCTCTGGAAGAGCGGCCAGTACTCGTAATCTCTCCAACCTGAATACGTTGTACTTTTCAATGTATATTTTCTTCAAGTAAGTTTTAGTGTGGTCAAAAAAAGTGGTCCAGCAGATATAGGTGTCTGTTGCTGAACATGACAATCTGGGTTGGATCCTAGGAACCCACAGGATGGAAGGGGGGCACCAAACCCCCAAACTGTCTAATCACAGCCTTCATACCATGGCATGGATACACCCACATACATAAATACAAACACAGTGAATAATAAGATTAAAGCATTAAAAAAATTAAACAACAATAACAACAAAAATCAAGCTAGGTGTGGGGGCTCACACTTTTAATCCCAACACTCAGGAGGCAGAAGGAGACAGATCTCTGTGTTCGAGGCCAGCCTGGTCTACCTATTAAGTTTTAGGCTAGCCACAGCAAAGAGAGACCCTTTCTCAAAACAAACAAACAACCACCAATATTTGATTTAAGAACATTACATTTTAAAAATTTAAATAGAGCCAATTTTAAAACAAAATAGGTTTTGTGTGATAAAGCAGACTTTACCACTCGCTGGTCTGGTTATCAGTGTTCCCAACATATACCTGGCGAAGAATGTTGTGCGCTAACGAGCCTCCGCTGACTGGGGAAGTGGTTCAGTTGGCAGAACGCCGGCTCTGAGTTCTGTCTCAGCACTGTATAAGAAACTGGCTTATTAACGCAACAGCCTAGGAGCCCAACCTCTCCAGACGCCCAAACAGGGGATGAGGAGTCAAGATCATCCTTTCTCCCAGCCAGTTCCTGGCCAACCTGGGCTCCACTTAAAGATACAAGTCAGAAACTATGCAAACTGGTGCTACCAATGTCCGGAGTCTTTAATCCACTCTTTACCTGACTGTTGCCTAATGATTATGATGGATCAGAGACTGGGTCCGTGTGTAACAAGTGCTTCGTCCAACTGGCCCAGAACACACACCTCAGGGTCATACTGGGGTTCTTCATCAGTCTACTGCAACCATTTTATAAGCTGACAAGATTTAATTCCCATGTATGATGCCCTGGAACCAAGATAGGCAAAAATAATCTGTAAATAGAAACCGATCCTTAAAAGAAGATGGTGTAGTGGATGGTGACACCTGTGATCCCAGCACTTGGGAGGATCAAGAAATCAAGGTCACCCTTGGGTGTACAGTGAGTTTGAGGCCAGCCTGGGCTACAAGAGGGCCTGGCCCAAAACAAAGCCAAAACCAGTTCTTATGGAAAATAAGTCCAGCACCCATATGTTATCAACACTGAACAGAAGCACAGGGTTTAAAATGGCTATAATCACTGGGCATCAGGGCCGCATGCTTGGAATCCCAGGACCCTGAAGGTTGAGGCAGGAGGACCATGAGGGGCCAAGCCTAGACTGACTATGTAGACCTGTCTCAAAAAACACCACCAGAGACAGACAGAGAGAGAGACAGGGAGACAGAGAGAAGAATGAATACTGGGCCATGAAAGGCTGTTGTATCATCCTAATACTCGACCACATCAAGAGGTTCCCCCACCCTTCCAGTGTCTGTTCCTGGGACAGCCAAGATGAAATAGAAAGACTCACAAGACCTCATGGCCTGAGTCATCAACTCTTCAACTGGTCAACGAGGGTTCAAACCCCACAGCCAATAAAAATGCAAATACTGTAGGTTATGGTCTTGGCAGAAATTCTGCCAGATGGGATTCCTTTACACTGGGAATGTCCATCCGCCAGGGGTTTTCACAGAACCAGATTTTAAGAGAAAAGGAAGGAAGGAAGGAAGGAAGGAAGGAAGGAAGGAAGGAAGGAAGGAAGGAAGGAAGGAAGGAAGGAAGGAAGGAAGGATATAATATCCTGTCTGCCACAGGGCCAGGGCTGTGCTATGCTCTAGGGCAGGAGCTGTGCACTAAACGGTGGAACCCTTGTACATGCTCTGTCAGAGGTGACTCTGGGAAGGAGGGAATAGCAGTGGCAAGGAAGTCATCCTTCTGTTAGAATGTCAGGGGAAACGGGGGATGAGCAATGTGGCCAAGGAAGGAACCATTATTCTAAAACAGCGGAGTGGTGAAGAGCCAAGGCAACAAACAGGATCATAATCCTAGGTGCCCATAGTAATCAACTTTGGTGACACCTAGAGAAAGGGATGGCGTTTCTGCAAAAACAAGAACAAACAAACAAACAAACAATAACAAACGAAGAAACAAAAGTGACAGGCATCTTTTCGTTTACAGGAAACTGGCCCCGGACACAGACGGCATTTTCAATACAGGTCAATTCCCTTGGAACCCAACGGACTTCAAAAGGCATCAAAGAGGGAGTGTAAATGAAAGTGGGATTAAAAAGGGATGAATGAGAAAACTCCTGATAAAATGAGAGGAGAAAGACAACTCTATTGCATTGCCATCTGGTTTGCTTCAAGCTCTGTTGAAAAAAAAAAGGCGGGGGGGGGGGGGAGCGGAGCAGGGGAAATGCAGACAGAGGAAAGAACAAGTAGATGGCCATGGCCAGCAAGGGTCTGCCCTGCACTTGTGTCTCCGCCAGGCTTCTGCTGCCACTCCCCCTACTCAAATGACAAGGGAACTTGCTTAAAGGCACTCAGCACATGATTCCTGAACTTCCGAAAAGCACTTAATTCGGTTGGCTCATGAAATCTTAATCTAAAAACATTCATCCATTTATAATCAAGCTGAATCACACTGACAACTGGGGAGGCAGGCCGGGCGGAGAGAATGCGAGTCTGGAAGGACACCGTGCAGACTGGGATCCCGGGGACTTCGGTCTACCATGTTGAGAGATTCACTTTCACTTCCTTCAAAGACGACAGAAACACCGGTGTCCAGGAGGAGTGCTCACAGGGTGACAACTGACAGAGGAACTACATTGTCTGATTTAATATGAGGAAAACGGGGGGGGGGGGGGGGGGGGNAGGGGTTGATTTTGGGTGGGAGGGGGGGGGGGGGGGGGGGGGGGGGGGGGGGGATGGTGCAACTAAGGAACTTGTGTTAGGATATAGACTACATTTCGGCGGGGGGTGGGGGAGGAATATTGGGTGGTGGATCTGAAGAAAAGCTAGAGAGAAAGGTAACAACACACTAGTTAGTAAATCTGTTATGGTTACCATGAGCCAGGCACTGTTCTAATGTTCCCAATAGTGCCTATTTCTCCGTCTTTAACCAAGGTGCCAACATTGTCCCTTGCCTTACTGGTGAGGAAACAGGCACAGAGAGGTTGGATAACTGGTCCCAAGTTACACAGCTGAGAAGAAGCAGGACTAAGATTCAAACCCAGGCACTGAGACACTGAGGTCTGTGCTTCTAACCTGTCTGAGCTCCTCTAGAACTTGTATAAAGAATGAGAACCAGGCTGTGTGTAAAATTTAAGTCATGCCCAGGCTAGATCTAGGGTCAAAAGTTTAACTCTTAGTCATGACCCTGTGATGACCGGCCAGCTTTGTGACCATCCTGGGCCTTGAGTTTCTTCATCTGTACAATAAGGGGAATGGGGTAGATGAGCATTTTAGGTTAAAAAGATCCTAAGTTCATGCTGGCCATTAACAGCACAGACTGGCCTGCTTTCTGGCTCGCCGAAAGCTTCATTTATTCTTACGTGGGCAAGGTGAGTTACAATTACTTCTGCTTCTTGACCTTCAGAAGATTATGTCCCTTCTATTCAGGCAAACAAGAGAAGGCAGTGAAGAGGGAAAATGCACTCTGCTTAATGTGGTTGTAACCCAATGGCCCTTGAAAAGCTCTGGGCACAGATCATGTTGACTCTGCCAAACCTGCAATCTCTCCTGCGCCTGTTCTCAGAACCTGCCTGTGGGCCAGGTAAAACTGATAAGCCAGAGGTGGAGGCACTGAAATAGAGGAACCGGAAAGAGTAACCCTAACAGCGCACTGAAATAATAAACTCGGTTAACTCATCTTTTGGTATAATCTATTCATCTGCATACAGGCATGCACACACGCACATGAGAGCAAACACCTCAAAAATCATTATGGGTGAATTCAACACCCCCTTGGAATCTAGTGGACTATGGTAAGTATCCCCCACAACCTAGTCACTAAATGTTGACCAGCGTGCATTGGTGGATGGAGAAAGGCCTTACTGATGGATCATACAATCCTTCCCTTCCTAAGCATCCCAGACAGGTGGCTGTCATCTGGCCGCTGCCGCCTAGGCACTTCCAAGGTCGATGTTCTGGCTGCCTAGCCTGGCAGGCAGCCCAAGGCGCTGTTGGACAGAGCTTGCTGTGGGGGAAAGCCCACGAAACACCTAGAACAGTTGTCCCACAAGCTCAATAAAGTGCGCCTCCAAGTAGGTCAAAAATTGCTTCCCTAGAACTTGAACCCATCAGTCGTAGGGAGCACCGGGATCCCAAAACGCAGAGGCCCAGCGAATATCCCGGGCTTGTAGTCAGGCCCTTTCAGGTTTCCAGCATCCTGTAACCCTCTTCCCCGAGTCTGATCCGGTGGATACCTCCCCAGGCCCAACAGTGAGCATCGATAGGGAACAGGGGATGGCAGCCAGGAGGCCTCTGTCGGCCTTGTCCCCAAGCTCGGTACTTCGAGCAGGAGAGGACAAAGGACCTTCAGGAAGGCGTATCCCACCCGTGGTTTGGGCTGCCCCGCTACCAGACAAGCTAGTCCTCCGGACCCCCACAGTGCCAGGTGACAGTCCCCCAACAGTCCCCACGGATCAGGAGCACACAGGCTGCGGCGCGATGGGCCGAGCCACGGGGGGACCGAGGACTCGGGGTTCTGGCTCGATGCCTCCAGAGAGCAATCGCGGCTTGGTGAAGCTCGCCCAACCGAGGTTTTACCTGCGCTCGTTGACTCCAGCGGTGCAGCTAGCCCGGAGTCCGATTCCCGCAGCTCCGCGGCTGCCGGCTGCGCTCATAGAAATACAGCCGGAACCCCTGGCCAGCGCAGCTCCCGCCGCTACCGGCCCCGCCCAGGCAACTGCAGCCACGCCCCTGACGACCGCCTCTGTCACGCCCCCAACCCAGAGTACCTCACTGCTTATTGGGTAGCGCAGCCGCCACTCTATTTGCTAGCGCGCTCATTGCGCCTGGTTGACAGCCCATTGGTTGGTGTGGCTGTTGCTCAGGGTGGAGGCGGTGATTCTTAGCAGACAGTTCTTCTACAATTGGTTACTTTTGATGTCTTTGGCAAGTGGGCCAAGACGCTATTGGATAAGGGCCGCCCCAAGAGGCGGGATAAGGGGAGCCGGCTAGAGGGTGGGTTGTGTTTGATGGTTGATAGGGGTGAGGTGATGGGAGAGGTCCTATTGTGACTGCTAGCTGGGTTCTGGGGCTGGAAAGGTCTGGAATCCCATGGGCATGAATGTGGGGGAGGGGGGGTGATAGTTCAGCTGCGGGGTTCTCAGCTCTGGTGTGTCCAGGAGGACGGACCTGTAGCTGAGGACACAGGTGACGAAATGAGGAGTCCTAACTTTGAAGAGCAGAGGTGGTGAGTCACCAAGCCAGAAAGGGACAAAGGAGTGGAGGCTGCGACCTCTGATCTCTCTTAGCTTAGGGAAGTGGGCGGGGACATGCGGGCGTGTTATTGTCCCTCTCTGTTCTTTCAGCCTTTCAGCCACCGTTGCAGGTTGGACGTCTCTTGGAAGAAGGTAACCTCTGGAGTCATTAGAACGGAGGATGTGCTGGTAGTACGGCCTCGGCTGTGCGGTTCAGTGTTTCGGCATGCCGCTGATTTCGTTTGGTAAAGGCTGGTAGCTGATGAGCAGATGAGTGAGAACAGTGCCTGGCATTCCACGGGCCTTCCTTGAGACTCACGGCTCGCCGCTCACCCTCTCCGTCCGTGCCACTAGGCTCGGTTCTAAAATTCCGGGAGCCTGAGGCTGCACATGCGATGGCACGAGCTTGACTAAGAGAACACTCCTGGCTTGAAAGGCCGCTCCAGTGGGGCAGCAAGGGACATACTGCCAAGGCTCAGAGGGGCTGCAAGCCCCTGAGGAGGTAGGAGAAATGCAAGAACCACATAGCCAGAGGAAGGAAGTTGTATTTGAAGCAATGCTAAATTTTCCCCAACACATTTTTAGGATTGTGACCAGGAAATTAGGAGCCACCTCAAGGAGTGGAACAAGCTGGGTATGGTGGCTCGTGACTGTTATCCCATCAGAAGACTGAGGCAGGAGGATTGCTTTAAGTCCAAAGCCAGGCTGAGCTACATAATGAGGCCTTATGACAATGTGAGCAAATAGGTTCTTTTGAAGGCTGCTCAGTGCCGAACCAAAAGTCACCCAGTAAAGCATCTCTCAGACTCTCCTGGAGCCCACTTCTCCTTCTGAAGGTACTGGACACCCCAGAGTGTGGACAGAGTAAACTCTTGGAAGTGCACGGAACCTCAGACCTTTGAAAGCGCCCATAAGCCATGGGACAGCAGAGAGGAGGGGGAGAGAAGCCATTGTTCGTGTGGTTTTTACCCAGCTGTCACGTTGCCTCGATAAAGTTCCATCTCAAGGCTTATTTATTCCTCCCTATTCTGTTCCATCTTGATGAAGAGAAGCCAAGGCTTTGGTAGCAAAGGATTTTACTAAGCCACAGCCTCCCCCATGGTCCTGACTCTTGTGCTGAAACGGTTTGGACTTTGAGAGATGAGCCTTGAATCTGTCACCAGATAGGGATGTTAACTGGTTGGATACAGCCATCTCACTAATAACACACAGGTACCAAACATCACGTGGTAGGTGTGTCATAAGCATGTACTACTGTCAATAAGAGATCCTGAAAAATGATGAACTTAGAAATAGATCTGCTGCCAGTTGAGGGAGTTGTATTCATGAGTGTGGGTGCAGGCGTGTGTGTGGGTGCACACACTTGGTTCTGAGCTACAGTTTTCTGGTTCTTCCCTTTAAATAGAGCTGGTTGGTGGGTTATGCACACACGGTGGCACACGTGCTGAGGAAGCCAGCTCAGCCTGATTTGGGTCTCCTCCTGCCCGTGTCCGCTGGGGCTCAACATCGGCTTTGGTCTTGGAATGGCTGCCAGTAGCTCCTGGGATCTCAGATGAGTTAATAGCTTGACTCCCAGTCACAAAAGCAACCGTTTGTAGTGAACTGCAGACAGCTCACCTTGGTAAACATGGGTTCACCGTGGTAAAAGTGGATTCACCATGGTAAAAGTGGGTTTTCCGTCCTGTCTCGGGAACCTAGGTTCGACCAGGAGTACTAACAAGGGACATCTGCCCGGCTTAGGAATATTCAAACACAGTGATTCATCAAGGCCCGAAAAGCAGTGTAGACCAAGTCCAGGCAGAGGAGGGAGCTGAACAGGACATGCGTTACTCCTTTGTGAGTGGGTGGCCTCAGGAAGGACCCACGGTCATAATGAAGCTCACGGTGCTGCTTTCTTATTTATCTCCGGTTTCTATTTCCTCCCCTCTTCCAGGACTCTTGCCAAATTCTGTTTAATCATATTATTTCATTTTACAAAGCATCGATGTGGGAGGTCACTTAGGGGACAAGAATGGCCTCATTTTGGCCTTCAAGTTTAGCAGTCTACAGGGATCGAGGACTCGGTGAGCCTTGGCCTGAGATACGCGGGTGCCAGAGTATGTGTGTAAAGCAGATTGTGAAAACAGGTGAGCTGGAGGTGTACTTCAGCCTATAGGGTGCCTGCCTCGCACACGCAGGGCCCTGGGCTCCATCCTCAGCACAGCACAGACCTGATGCAGGGATGCACTCTGTCATCCCAGCACTCAGGAGGTGGACGTAGGAGGATCAGAAGTTCAAGATCACCTAGAGACAGTATGTCCCTGCTCACCTTCTGCGTTGGCTGAGGCTCTGGGACTTGACTGATGTGGAACTGGATCCATCTCAATGAGAGCCTTTCTACAGGATTTCACCTGAGAGAGTCTCCGGGGTACCCTGGAAGATGGGGGAGCCATATGTGGCTCCCATAAGTAAGACAGACTCTGCTTGTTCTGGCCCTGTCATTCTCAGTCCTCAGGGAATGACAGAGCCACCAGCTTTGGAATCTCTGTCATGGCGCTCGAATCCTGCTTCCACCCTCCTTAGCTTTGTGGCCTTGGGCAAGCACAGCGCCTTTCTGTTCTGTCCTTTTCTTAATCGTAGGCAGCCGACTGTGATATGCTTGCTCCTGGGGCCCTAAGCAATGAGTTTGTAATAGGCTGTGTTTCCGTCAGCACCTGGCAAAGGCCAAGCCCTTAATAAACCTTTGTCATAGTCAACAGAGGAGCCGCTGAAGAACCTTTCTCTAAATCCATCTCATTGTCTGAGTTTTCTCCCTGCTGATGGAAAGCTTTTGGCATTCATGCATGTGTGCACACATGTGTCTATGTAACTTTATTCAAGCCTTTCAAAACAGGCCTCATATAACTCAGAATGGCCCCAAACGTGTGGCCCTCCTCCTCCAGCCTTCCAAGTGCCGGGATTGTAACAGACAGACAGACTGCGACGGAACTCCAGCTCACCCTCCCTCCACCACGCCCGGCCTCCTTTGCTGTGGATTATCTGAAGGATTGTGTTAAGGTTCAGGGGATTAGACCTCATCAGCTTAATCACCGTGAGGGCAAAGGGGGAGGGTGAGGCTGGGAAGTTGATACTGGACGCTGCAGTCCTGACAGCCTGACGTGAGTCAGACTGAGGAATGCAGTAAGTTGCTTGTTATCACACCCAGGGCCGGTTATGGGCAGTTTAGGCTCAAAATGCACTGCACCTCCTGGCCAGCTTCTCACTGATGGCGGTGATTGACTTGGTTTAGAAGTTCTAAGGCCTGGTGTGTTACTCAGGTCAGTGAAGACGAGCACAGGTCAGTGAAGACGAGCAAGGATGCCGTTCAAGGACCCGGTTCCTGACGTTATTAGAAAAGGCATCCAGCTGGCTGTCTAAAGCAGTGATGACGGGAAAATGGCCTTCTGTTTGGCCTGTGCCGTTTCCTTAATCCACCTGTAAAGTTATCTATCTATAATAAGATTTTTAAGAGGGGGTGGAGCGGGAGGCAGGGGTTGGCTCGGTGGATAAAGCACTCATTGTGTGTGAGCCTGAGGGCCTGAATTTGGTCCCACGTCAAGGTGGAAGAGAGAACTGATGTCACAATGTTGTCGTTTGGCTTCCACACGTCACTCCCCCATCTTACACACACACACACACACACACACAGAGTGTTCCAGACTTACTATTACACATCAAAAGTTTTAGACAGATAGGTGAAGACTCAGTCATCAAACCTTTCTCTTCTTGACATCATTCTTAATGACAGCAATAAAAATTGACTGCTCCCCACTATTAATTCCAAAGAGGTCAATAAAATGTGTGCATTAAATTACCGTATCACAAATCCTTACCTACCAAAATTCATGGGCTTGGGCTATTTTAAAGCTACTTAAATCCCTTTAGAGACCCATATACTGCTTCTATCATTTTTTTAATTAACCAGACAATAAACAGTTTTACTGAGCAACATATTTTCAGCGCTAGAGAGATGGGCTGAACTGTGAGGCCAAGTCCTGTCCCCGTGTGGGCAGGTCTATAGGACAAAGGGGAAATCCTAGAGACAGCTCAGAACGCTCCCCAGTAAGCAGCGGAGTTCAGCCTGTGCCAAAGATCCTCATTCCCAAGAGGGAACAGTTTCTTCGGATTTGGAGTCGTGGAGAGTTGAGACGGGGCTTAGAGACGCCTGGGCTGGGGCAGTGGGTATGCCAGGTGGTGAAGGCAGCAGAAGCAGAAGCCTCTAGGTGGGAGAGCTCAACACAGCTTGTCCAGAATGGGAGCAGGGTGGAAAACTGGCAGGAGAGATGAACAGACGGGCCAGTGTCAGAGGCCGGTGAATGCCTTCACTGGAGTTAATGGCTTTGCCTAGCACCCTGCAGGGTACACATCTCCCCCTGCCCCTTCCCCCCTCCCCAGTTGCCAGGCAGCTGCCCGTCTCCTTCATAATTGTAGCCCTATCTCTGTATTCCCTCTTC